ATGAAAGAGTGGATGATGAATAAATGAGTGGATATTGGATGAAAGTGTGAATGATGGATGAATGAGTGGTTGATTGTTGAGAGGCTGATGGATTAAAGAGTGGATGATTGATTAGTGGATGATGGTTAAAAGTGGATGATGGATTAGTGGATGATAGATGAGTGAATGATGGATGAATGAGTGGATGATGGATGAATGAGTGGATGATGGATGAGTGGAAGATGGATGAATGAGTGGTTGATGGATTAGTGGATGATGTATGAATGAGTGTATGATGGATGAATGAGTAGATGATGGATGAATGAGTAGATGATGGATGAATGAGTAGATGATGGATGAATGAGTGGATGATGGATGAATGAGTGGATGATGGATGAATGAGTGGATGATGGATGAAAGAGTGGATGATGGATGAAAGAGTGGATGATGGATAAATGAGCGATATTGGATGAAAGTGTGAATGAAGGATGCATGAGTGGTGGATTGTTGAGAGGCTGATGGATTAAAGAGTGGATGATTGATTAGTGGATAATGGATGAAAGTTGAGTGGATGATGGATGAGTGGATGATGGATGAATGAGTGGATGATGGATTAGTGGATTATGGATGAATGAGTGGTTGATGGATGAATGATGGATGAGTGGAAGATGGATGAATGAGTGGATGATGCATGAATGAGTGTATGATGGATGAATTAGTAGATGATGGTTGAGTGGATGATGGATGAGAGTGGATGATGGATAAATGAGTGATATTGGATGAAAGTGTGAATGATGGATGCATGAGTGGTTGATTGTTGAGAGGCTGATGGATTAAAGAGTGGATGATTGATTAGTGGATAATGGATGAGAGAGTGGAAGATAGATGGATGAGTGGATGAATGATGGATGAGTGGATGATGGGTGAATGAGTGGTTGATGGATTAGTGGATGATGGATGAATAAGTGGTTGATGGATTAGTGGATGATGGATGAATGAGTGGATGATGGATGAGTGGATGAATGATGGATGAGTGGTTGATGGATGAGTGGAAGATGGATGAGTGGAAGATGGATGAATGAGTGGATGGATTAGTGGATGATGGATGAATAAGTGGATGATGGTTGATTGATGAATCATATGCTATTATTTTTATTCTATTCTATTCTATTTTATTCTCTACTATTCTATGATATTCTTTTTTTTTATTTTCTGCTATTCCGCCTCTCTGGGAAGCATCGACCGGCGAAATGGGCCAGTCGACAACCAGACGGACGGGTCGTAGCAGACGACCTTCTCCGAGTCCTGGTGACGCAGCAAAAGAGCCTCCGGCTCGGACTCGTTTGGTATAGCAGACGGTCTGGATTCGTCCACCTTCTCCAGACTATCCATGCCGCTCTGGGAAGCCTCGGTCGCTAACTGGTACATAGCCATCTGAGGTGCGTAAGCTGGATGCAAATACTGCAGCATTTGCTGCTGCTGCTACATCCATTCTTCCATCAACCAGACGGTCTCCTCTCCGACTAGGAGCTCTGCTCGTGCGGCAGCCTTGCTCGTACCCATGCTCCAGATTCTCCATGCCACGAGCCGCCGCTCTGGG